TCTAACCAGAAACCCACTGACTTCATGAAAAAGTGAACCTGAACTGCAAAAATGCAAGATCTATTTTGGTTGATTGGTGATTCAAGGGACCAACTCCAAAAACCTAGCACAAATCAATGAATTGTGTCTTTCTCAACCATTCATGCAAGAAGTACAGTAATCAATAGACACCTTTACAGCATGCTTCCACAAATTCAGACCATGTTGACTTAAAGGAGATATGCGCATTGGGATACGACCTGAAGAATTGACTACAGTGCTCTACTGCTGTTGTTAACATTACCAGCTACAATGTCAGTAATCGACTGAGTTTTGCTTTAGTGTCAGTAATACAAGGCCTAGTGGAGATGTGATAGGGCCCGAAAATTTTGGCCTGACCCAACATTAAATCTGCATAGCTTCTGTCCAAGCCTGACCTGAGCCCGAACTACAGTACAGCAGCAGTTTTGGGCCTGAACCTAATTAAACATCCTAATTTCCACCATAATTTTTAAAAATAAAAAGTCATCTACAGAACGCAACCTGATTCACGCCTGGGGGAATTTCGGGAAATTGCAACCCAGTTAGAACCTGGCCTGGTGGGTAGTGGTCCGCACAGAGAATCAAAGCTCTAAGGCACAAAAGGACCAATGAGTGGTTTGTAGAATTTATAGCATATTAGTAAAACTTGTCCTTGTTTCCTGTGTGTGAACAGTGGCATGTCTGTGCCCTTCCCTCAGGCTGTCCATTGGCGACCATGTTGAGAGTTCATGTAAGAAAGGCCATGGAGGCTACTGAGACGTTGTACCCAAGGAGGGCTGACATCTAAACACAGATGAAGGCCTGAGGCTGTTTCCTCACCTTCAGTCACACACTATTACTGCTCTCACTGACTAAATGCAGCCAAGGGCACATGTGTGTCTGGGTCAAGATTTTTTAGACGCCCCTTTTAAAAAGTAACCTACAGACAAGCAAGAGTGAGACGGTGGCGATTATGTTTCTTCTTCACACTATAGTTCCCCTTTTGATGTGTTGATAAATGTCACTTCTGTTAAATGGTCATCAAGCCAGTTAGAATTACTGTACAGTCGCTCCCCAGGGACGGGTTGAGTCTAACATGGCCACTCTGGTCTAGTTAATAGGGCTGATATATTTAGTATGGCTGCAATGAATGATTATTTTCACTGTTGATTAATCTGTGGATTATTTTCACTATTAGCTGATTAGTTGTTTCATCCAGAAATTGTCAGCAAATGCTTAAAAATATTGATTAGTGTTCCCCAAAGCCCAAGATTACGTAAAGAAACCAGAAAATAATCATATTTAAGAAGTTGGAATTTGCGAATTTGGGCTTTTTTTCTTTAAAAATTACTTTTACAAACCGATGAATCCATTATCAAATTAGCTGGTGACTAATCTATAGTTGACAACTAACTGATTAATCCTTGCAGCTTTACTAGTCGCTTCAATTTTGCAAAGAGCTTTCTTCATATCGTGAGGTTATTGTCATTCGTCAACATGACTCAGATCCCGTTTTTTAATTGTATGAAATGATGGACAGTGAATTAGAATCGCAGCAGTTACTCGACTAATTGATTAGTTGCCATCTATTAAATCAATCTGCAACTAATTCGATGGTCAATCAAACTTCTCTGATCCCAGCTTCGTATGTGTGAATATTTTGTGGTCTCTTTCCTCCTTTATAACAGTAAAGTGAATATATTTGGGTTGTGGGCAAAATAAGACATTTTATGACTTCCCTGATTGACATTTTTCCCCATTTACTGACATTTTATGCACCAAACAACTAATTGGTAAAGGAATCGACAGATATATAAATCAACAATGAAAATAATCGTTCATCGCAGGCCTACACTGACTGCACACACAGGCCCACACCAAAGCCAGGAACCAGGGTCAGTGTACTATGATAACTCACCACAAAAATACACGTACTGTAGATATCCTCTGGCTCGTCATGCAGTACTCTCTTATGTATAGTGAGCATATGTTCTTTTAATTATTAAGTGGAGGTCATGGGCATTGTCAGTCTTAATGATGCTGACAAAGGCTCTGCTTTTAGCTCACCCCAGGTGTCTATGTACACAACACGATGCTTTATTTAGTCTTGCTTGCTTTGGACCTGGTTAATCAGCAGTAAACGGGGGGGTGGGCCAACTACAGCACGGGTGTAATGCTCACAGGTCTGCTGGAGTGAGACCCTGGTGTGAGATGAGTCTCAAGTTAACGGGGCCACAACTGTTTGGAGAAAGGTGCTGAGTGTTGGCAGAGAGCGCAGAGGTGAGAGGAACCAGAGGCGCGGAAGGGCCTTGTGTCTGTGCCCTCAGACGGCTTATACAGCGCATGCAGGCAGGGCCCTGGCTCACTGGTGCATGGATAATGTTGGAGAGAGTATCCCGCGGCTAAGCTGCACTTAACAGCACATTGATTTTAAACCCCTGTGTTCCCTCTGGAGGGCAGTGGGACGAACCTCAACAGGCCGGACCCCCACCCCTTCTGCCCTCCTTCCCACCTTCCCCTTCTGACCACCACCATTTACCATCTCCACAACCTACCCCTCCCACCATCCACCCACCCCCCAAGTCGATTTGGGTACACCATGCTGGTCACTGGCCTCTACTCCCCCCCCCAACCTCTGAGTTTCCCAGAGGAGTTGAGCAGGATTCAGGGGCACTAAGGCTCCCACAAGACCCCAGTCTTGAGAGCAATGTTTTGGGTAGGGCATGCAGAGGCAGCCGCTTGGAAAAGATCTGTGGTCAAAATCAATGCATTGGCACTTTGATGGAGCGATCCAACAGATTTGGGAATTTCACATTCTCTCCTCTCTCTCCTGGCACCATCAGAAGGCCTCACCACTGGAGGAAAAAACATGCACTAAACCTTCTGGGAAAGGGGGACTCTTAATTTCTACAGCTTCTGGGACAAAACACGACACAGTCAATATTCATTTGGTGGCTTGCACCTAACATGTTCCTCTCCCCAATCTGTTGCCTCTTAATGCTCGAAGCAAAATGGATAAATAAAATGTTTTTGTAACCTTTGCAAAGATTCTGTAAGACCTGGATATTATATTTGACATTAAAAGACATGTGTTGTATTCTTCCACTACAGTAAGTTCAGTTTCTCTCCAAAGCTTTGAAAGAGAAAACTTTCTTTCTCATCATCACCACACCTAGCAGTCTGCATCTCTTTATGTGAGTCCCAGCACAGGTGGATGCTTGTGTGGTGCTTCTTCCACTTGTCTAACTTCTGACTCATCTCCCAGCTGCATTATGCGGATCCATGTTTCAGGATCAGTACACAGCACTCTTCTTTGTGTGCTAATGGGCTCTCAGCATCTTTAAGACTCAGGGTACAATTAAGAGGTGATAGTTTGATCTCCCACCTCGCAGTTCTATTTCTGAGCTGCCGCGTGATTATGCCGGAGGTTGATGGGTGGGTGAGGAACGGGCTCTATTTAAAGGAAGACACCCATGAACTCTTCTGAAAGAACAGACTACTTTTGCTGTTTGCACGCGCCTGATTTCTCTTCTAAATGTATCCTCTGCAATAAAATGTATGACATGATCACAGAGGTTTTTAAATAAAGCCAGTGACTGATGGTGTTCATTGTGGTTATAGCAGAAGTTAAGACTATTATGTGTGGCATTTTTACCATTATAACACAGTGTTAAAACAGACTGTACACGTGGGGAAAGAGACAGAGGCAGAAGTAAACTTTGTGTTTTTTTAAGATCTGTGCTAAAAGATCGAGAAAAAGGTCTGCTGGGTTTGGTTATAAAAGGTAGTTTGTAAAGGCCAAGAGTATTCCATCATGTATCAGGACTAACTTAAATTATTTTACACTGAGCCTTAAGCATTTTTAAACTTAAAGCTTTATTTATACTCCATCAACCATTTTTGATGGCTTAAAAGTGAGTTAAGTGTCTCTGCTATTACAGGCAATTTCACTTTATCAATTCTGCTGCCTAAATGACCAGAAATGAAAGAGAATTGGAAGTAGTACCTTCTAAGGGGGGTAAATGTGGTCATATCTCGCAGCCACCTGCTGTCTCACCTGAGAGAAATGGTTGATACAGCATTGCCATCTGCTGGTGAACATCAATTATTACACAATAGTTGTATCAAATTTTAATACATACTATGCAAAGGTGGTTTTATGGAAGATGGTTGATAAGCCCATGCCAAGAAGGTATATGATGATAAAATCAGTTAATTTCAATTAATGCATATACTTTATTTCCTACTTAAAATCAGGCCTCTGAACCAGCATAATCCCTGCAGATGAAATGATAGACGATGATTGTTGACCTCCCACTTCAAGACATCTGACATCATTTTTTAAAATGTGACATCTGAAATAGCCTTTACTGATGGTAATGAACTGGAATATCAGTATCTGAGGATGTGCAGGCATTGGCGTCCATCTAAGGCCATGCTATTATGTGTCACAATAAGCTCGCACATCTACAGTAAATCCACGTATTAAGGTAAACATGTAAGTCTATATATTTTACAAACAATGTACAGCGTGAATGCTTAGCCATTACAAAACTTGATTCAACATCACTCTCCTTTCTCTCTCATCTAACATTTGGGACTTCATTTCATTTGAAGTCAAAAACTTCAGGTCATAACAAACATCTTCTTTATAATATACTATTGGTTATTGATTTATTATGACTATAAAGGCCCAAAATTCATTTTTTGACTGGCAACAGCTTGTGTTTGTCACAGATGACAATATAGGCATTGTTTCACTGCCACAATCACCAAAGCAGCTTAGATTTGGTTGTTGTTTGTTAGTTTGAGAACAGTAGCAGATTAGCAAATTCCTATCCATTGTTTGTTTTTGTTTGTTAAATCATGGTGGTGGCTAATTTGGTTCATATTTCCATCCCATACTTTGTCTTTAAGTAGCTTTGAAGTTAAGAGAAAAAATAAATAATATTAAATAGAAATGCAATATAATTGTAATAATATAATTGTCATTTAAGATATCAGATATAGCCTATTCAATATCTGCTCGCTCTTGGTCTTTATTCAGGCAATGCTGTGCCCAAAAATTCAAACTCACGATGCTTTATTACGACTACATGCATCATTTTCATGTTCGGTTATAAAACTAATAAAAAACTAATAAAAAAAAATAAAGTTGTATGTATTTCAACAGTTCTTGTTTGTCCTACTTACATTTGAAACGATGGAAGCCCAAGTGGTCCCTGCAGGTTTAGCGAGATAACAAAAAAAAAAAAAAAAAAAAAAAAAAATCATAATAAAAAAGCCCGCTTGGGACTTTGACATGAAAATAGTCCCCGCCCTTTACGTGACGTTTTCGGATTTGATTGGCTGAGAACGCCGGCAGTTGAACGCGAATTGGTAATCAATCGCTGTCAATCAGTTTAGGGGCGTGTCGTTACCGTGTCGTTAGGGAAAGCACAGCCAGTCCTCAGTCCACCCAAGTGCCACCCGGCTCCGTCCCATCTGTACATCAGCTATTAATAATAAAGAAGCTAACGGTGGGCAGGAAACCGGCGGCAGGTGAAAATGGACGAACCTTCGGAGCAAATGAGGCCCCTTTTGAGGACAGTGAGTACCCGCCAAGCCGTTAGCCCACCATTATATTTGCTCTCTTTGTCCGTGTTTGCTCCTTGTTTGCCAAGCAGCCGCAGAAGTACTAACGGTTAGTGATGCTCGGGAGTCAGATTCAGTGAGGCACCATCCGGCGGCTGCTATTGTTAGCCGGCTTTCTGCTTCTGACACGTGGCACGGGTACAACTTGGGTTAGGGTCTCCTGTTTAAGTCAGCGGAAGCGTTAATTTAAATATATCTTATGTAGAAATGTGTGTCTGCGCCGATGTTTTAATGTTTTAATTCATCTTCACTTGTGTTCAGCTAGTTCTTGCTAAGTTAGCCATTCGCGAGCCGAGTGAAGCCTGGTCAGTGACGTTATTAATGTTAATAACTATGGTTACCGCAATGTTAACACATGTCCCGTTTGCTGGCACGTCTGAACGTCAGTGTGTGTCCACGTGCTTTAACAAACTTAAAAATAAACAAACCAAGTGTAATATTTTGGTGTTATCTTAGTAAGTCTGACAGTAATGCCTGTAATAAATTAACGTTACACAGCACTGTACCAGCTTTGCAACATTCCCCCCTCATGTTCAACAGGTCCACCTTTCCGTTACTTGATAATATAAGTTCCAGCAATTCAGTTGATAAGATCTGCTGGTACATTTGCAGAAATAAAAGGCTCATTTGCATATTAAATGCTCCACAAATAGATCCGCCGTCTTGTGTGACATTTCCAAGTCAGGAAACGTTGCTAATTTTACTGTGCCACCAGAGAGGAAAAATAGACATGAAACTGGGAGAGAATTGTTTCTGCACAACAGCAGTCACGTGGGTTACTTTGTCCACCAAGCTCTTATCAATGTGATATTTTAACTGAGCTGTGGGTGAGAGTAGAGACCCACATCCTGTCTGCTGGGAGTAGCTTTACAGTAGCAGATAGGATGATGAGCATCAAACAGCAGCGTGAACAAGCCCAAAAAAGAAACTGGTTTCAGAGCTAAGTTTAAAATGCACGCTGGCTGTCTGACATCAGTGTTGGTGTAGGGTTGTCCACTACTATGCTTGTGAGTGTGCCGAGGTGTATATGCTTGTGTAAGAACATGTGCATGCATCTGAGGAAACTTGAGCCCTGGCTGCCCAATGAAAAGGAGTTGCTTGATAGCTGAGTACCTCTCCCCCTGAACATAGAAGTCAGTGCATTCACTAAGGCATGGGGACACTTTCTGGCAGACATTCAACTGCTTGATGCCTAATGAAGTCTCTTCCTGAAGAACATGGCATTGTTTAACTTTGAGTTGATGTGCACGAATCTGGTTTCAACAAGAAACTCATATTATTTTCAGGCTTGGCTGGCCAGTGCGACTGTTAGGGGTCTTAAATGTCATTTTAACTGTGAAACATTGATGCCATTGGCCCTTAGGGAAAAAGTGAGAATGTCATCTAAACTGCAATTAGATAGTGAGGCATTATTGTTTAGTTTGGCCCCAACTTCTTTTCATTTAAAGGAATACTTCAACCACGAAATGACCATTTGTAAATCAATTAATTGTACCATGTTATCTTGAATTTGTGAAGAAAACTTTGTTTTTCTCATATGCCACCATGGAAAATGGCAAACATATTGATTTACATTTACTTCACAAATTCAAGGTAACACAAAATGACTAATTGAGTGAACACATGCTATGTAAGGTCATTGAGTGGTTGTTGTTCTGCTGCCTTTATGCCACTGGTTATCATCTCAGGCTGTGTTTGTGGCATTTATAGAGAGCTACTTAGATGACTTTGGTTTTGTGTTTTAGTGACCTTTATTAGTGTTGGAGATGGATTTCCTTCTCCTCCTATGTTTTGCCTGAGTACTTTGTGGCCAAGAGCTCTTGGTCCCAAGGTCTAATGGATTGTCTGGTTTCAAACTTATACTGGAAAGATGGGTTGGTGGTGGACAGGCTGAGGATAAGGACACTAAAAGAAAACAGAAAGATTGTAGTAAGGGATGGGAATCAAGATCTGACTCCAGTTGAGAACTAACTGGTTCCAAATTATTCAATCCATCAGGATCATATCATATGCCTCTGAGCTTATAAGCTCTTTTTATTGATGCTGGCACGTTTCTGTGACAGTTGCAATGATGTCAAACTCATATGTCTGTGCTGCTGGAATCATGCATCATGTATTTTCAAGAAGACAGATGATTACAGTGCTGCCTTTAATCTAGATAAAATGATAATTACAAGTAAGGGTAGAAACATCAGCAATATGAAATATCTTTCTATGCGACATGGGCTTAAATTCAAGGAATGTCATGAATTTGACACTCTATGCGCAACCGTGCAGCACAGTGTTACGAAGGGTAAATATCTTATGGTATATAATACCATTAACGCCACGCAGACAAGTTTTTTCTTTGACTTAGAAAATGGTCAAACAGTGGAGCTTTTGCACATCAGAGTTGCATGCATGCCTTTATATTAACTCTGTTTCTACACTGTGTTAATACTCAGAAATAATGGAGCAATTGCACTGATGCCGAAAATCTGTGTAGGCCTTTTTTCCACACAGAAAATTGATCAGAAAATAATAAAAAAGCGACTGATAAGCAGCATTGGTAACTGCATCAGTATCAGTAAAATATTATCACTTCCCATTGCTAGTTGTAATAGCAGTTGGTCCAACTGTCAGATTTTGCTTACTAAAAACACACTTCATGTCACTGATGCCTTGAGCTTTGTTTATCGACTATTTGGCTCTACAGTGTGAGCTTTCATTGAGTTTCACTTACATGTTTGCTAGCATGTCAGGAAGAAGGGGATTTGTGCATGCTGCTGTTTTACTAGTGAAAGAGGGTTTTAGTCTAGCCAGGAAAGGCTGGACGACCTGGACTATTATTGGCTCAGCAGCATGAACTGCCAGTAAAAGTGAGTGTTTTATGAAGCTTACTAAGTGTATAGCATTGCTTTAAATGGGTAATTACACAGAATGGGCCTCTCAGCTAGTCTGATGGTGCCTTGTTGTCTTCAGCTGTACTATTAAGATAATACGATAAAAAATACCTAATTTCCACCGTACCCAGCAATAGGCTAATTGGTGTACACAACAGAGAGCTTGTTTGATTAAATTATCTACTTTCTGCGAGAATGAAATGTACTCTCAGAGAGTAGGAGGCAATTAAACTGTACAACAGGCCACAAACTTTGAAGTGCTTGTGGAGGCAATGATTGATGAGGTCCACTCTTTAAATCAGAAATTGTCACATGTATGTGTACTATTTCCCTGTAGTTTGTTTCAGACCCAAAGAAAAAGTAGTAATTAATTTTGAGATTTTTTTATTTGTCCACAGTGAGGCAAGCTTTTCTAACTTCTCTGTGCCTCATGTTGACACAGTTCAGTGCATTTACATCGACTGTTCTATTGTATGTAAGTCTATGAGAAAATTAGATATATTACCTTAGGAAACATTTTAATGAGTTTATGGTCTCAGCATGATCTTCATTTTGTAATTTATAGTCCCATTTAGAGAAAAATAGATGATAAAGCTGGGCATGTTTTAGGGCATGGCTACCTTGTGATTGACAAATCTGGTTCTTCCACAACTTGCTACTTAACAGCTCCACTCTCTCATCCAAATATGGTCACTTCTGGCACAAAAAAAACAACAACACGATGGCCATGGCCAAAATGCAAAACAAGGCTTCAAAACGGCAGTCCACATACCACTGGGTGTTGTCACAGTGGCTATGTCCACTTCTTTTATACAGTGTAACAAAGGTAGGGAGAGTGTCATTCATGTCCATTAGGCATCTAAATTTTCCCAACTAGTCAGGGGATTCAAAGCAGCAACATTTAATCACAATCCTGCTTGTCCTCCAGATTACCACCTGGGGTGGGCGATATAATGACTAAGTACGATATATCGATATATTTAGACAACGCCGCTTAAATCAATATTGGGTCAAATTGCATAACATATACCAGTGTGCATCTGTCCTCTCTCACATTCTCCACACTCACTCACTCACTCACTCACTCACAAGTTCTCCAGCAACACTTTGTAGAACCGTAGCCATGCACCTCCCCAGAAATATAACTACATGTCACAGCAACACAAACATCCTTTCTATTTTTGTAAACTGAAACCGTTTCCCTCAGGAAACAAAGCTTTTATTTAGTTTACTTTCACAGATAAGAGACAATAAATTGTGAAGACAATGAAGCCTCCACAAAATAACATTTTAGGTTTTGTGTGTGATTTATCCTGGCCTCATATGGGCAGAGGAAATCTTCGCTATTCAGTAGGCTAATTTATACAATGTAAAATGCCATAGGCTTGTGCTAATAATGTTAGCATGTTGTATTTGTTTGGAAAACGTGTTCAGTATAAGACAGTTCTTTTGTCAGTGGACCTTGTGAGTTGTAATGGAGCCGAATTTTGTAACGCTACCTTTGTTAAATGTTGCTGTTGTCCCTGGCTTCATATGAGTAGAAGAAAAGATCGCTAGGCGCTAGGCTAATTCATACAATGTAAGTTGCCATAGGCTTATGCTAAAAACGTTAGCATGTTGTATATGTGGGGAAAAAGTTTGCAGCAAAAGACAAGTGCTTTGTCTGTGAATGCTGTGAGTTATAGTGAAGCCAATTTGTGTTTGAAATTGTTACTATGTTTAAAGTGTGTTTTAGGTGTGTTTTGAATCAACTAAACTTTTCAGCACTTCACAGAAACCCCACTGCTGACTAGTGTTTTGTAGGTGTATCTGTTGTGCAGCTTACTATTTTCAAATGGGAATAAAATCCCTGTCTTTGCATTTTATTTGGATCACAATCTGTTTTTATAAAACTGCTTGTGACATCTCGAATGTGGCTTTGACTTGCTACTGAAAACATGTTGCCCATTTCATAGAACATATCAAGATATATAGGCTATATCATGTATCGCCAGTCAGCCTGTAAATACTGAGATAGGAATTTTTGTCCATATCGCCCAGCCCTATTACCACCCTGAAGGTAATTTTATGAAT